TTATGAAGAGTTTCAATCTGGTTTTCACCCCCACCATAGCACCGAAACAGCTCTAATAAAAATAACTAATGACCTTCTTCTTGTTGCTGACTCTGGTTTTCTGTCTATCCTCATTCTACTTGATCTAAGTTCTGCCTTCGACACAATCTGTCATTCTATCCTCAACAGACTAACCTCCATTGGCATCTCAAGTACTCCATTAGACTGGTTCAAATCTTATCTCTCTGACCGCACTCAGTTCATTCAGCTTAAATCCTTTCGTTCCCAGTCTTCCCCCGTCTCCACGGGTGTCCCCCAAGGCTCTGTCCTCGGACCCCTCCTCTTCACCATTTACCTCCTTCCTCTAGGTCACATCTTCTGCAAATTTGGTGTCCATTTCCACTGTTATGCTGATGACACACAACTCTACGTGTCACCAAAACCAAACTCCACCCACCCACCCTCCATCCTCACCAACTGCCTCAATGAGCTAAATAATTGGTTTTCTAACAATTTCCTTCAACTAAACTGTGACAAAACAGAAATCATTTTTGTCGGTACCAAAAACTCTATTTCAAAATCAGAACATTTTCTCATCCCCCTTAACGATTCTCTGCTACCCCCCTCGCCTCAGGTCAAGAGTCTTGGTGTCATCCTCGACACCACTCTCTCCTTCACTTAACACATCAACAATTCAAAAAGCATTCAATACAAAAACAAGTGGACTTTATTTGTAACAGAAGACGTTTTGCTCCTCATCCGAGGAGCTTTCTCAATTCAATGAGCAGTGAGTGAGAGATTCAGGTTATAAGGCTGACTGAGATAAGACACACACACATATGTAGATTTGACAATTCACACCTCCACACGACTTGTCAAATCTACATATGTGTGCGTATCTTATCTCACTCGGCCTTATAACCTGAATCTCTCACTCACTGCTCATTGAATTGAGAAAGCTCCTCGGATGAGGAGCGAAACGTCTTCTGTTACAAATAAAGTCCAGTTGTTTTTGTATTGAACGCTTTTTGAATTCATCATGTCCTGGATGACTGAGAATCTTCAACAGCACACATCAACAATGTTACTCAGTCTGCCTATTTCCATCTCTGAAATATTAACCGTCTCTGCCCTTCTCTCACACCCCACTCCACAGCCATCCTTGTTTACAGTCTTGTGACTTTCCGGATTGACTACTGCAACTCCCATCTTTATGACCTCCCCAACAAATCTCCTCAGAAGCTACAGATAGTCCAGAACTCAGCTGCCCGTGTCATAACTCAAACCTCCTCCTATAACCACATCACTCCTGTTCTGCAGCAGCTCCAGTGGCTCCCGGTTAAATCACGCATCATCTTCAAAATTCTTCTTCTCACTTTCAAAGCTATCCACAACTTTGCCCCTCCGTACCTATCTGACCTCCTACACATCTCCATCCCCTCTCGCTCTCTCAGATCCTCCTCTTCGCTACACCTCCATGTACCCTATGACCGCCTCTCCACCATGGGGAGCAGGGCCTTCACCTGTGCTGCCCCTCATCTCTGGAATTCTCTACCCCCTGACTTACGAAACACCACCTCTCTTTCTCAATTCAAGAGTACTCTTTTTCCTCCCAGGCTCTCATTGAGGTGGCAGCTTCTGTTTCTCCTCCCCCGTTTTTTTCCTTCCTCCTGCTCTGCTCTCTGTGTGTCTCAAGCGCCTGGGTCTCATCTCCCAAACATAAATTAAGACGATTATGGATTTGGTATCGTGGGCGTTCAACTCTATTGATAAGATTTTTTCATCAAAACAACAAGGTCCTGGAGAACCGGCGTGTCCAGCTGAGACTCACGTCATGGATTCGTGGGGAGTGTGGCAGTTGATGTGCATCACAGTTTTGTCTCAGGAGAATGTTGAAGACATTTACATATTTGGATTTATGATAGCAGGGACTCTGCTTTTTGGCATCGGCGGGGCACTGTTTTATCGACTTTTGAAAAAGACATCGGCAGCAGTTTCAGCCATGGAAAAGCTTCCGAGTCAGTGTGAAGGTCTAGTCGTCGCTGTGGGAACTTTAAATCGTCTGGTTTACGAGCTTAACCGTAAGGTGGAGGAGATTGAGAATCGCAGACCACCTGCGGCTTCTGGGACTCGTCAGCGTGGTGGGTTCGACCTTGAAGGAGACTCATAGCATGGATCAGTGGAATGGAATCCCACAATTAGGCATTTTCAGATCTAGAACGCCCAGATGGACTCAAGGCTGAAGAAAAAAATCTGTCTGCCTGAAGAAAAAACAAAAATCAAGCTTATCTGAATCAGACTCCCAACGCCTCGGAGACGGGCTGACTATCAAATTTCTCCTGGGACATGAGTGCCC